ATTCATATGTATTGTCCGTATGTGTGTATTTATTTGTCTGAAATTGTATAGGGTCTCTTGCCTAAGCAGGGGGTTGAACTAGAAGATCTCCAAGGTCCCTTCCAACTCTGTTATTCTACTCTATATAATATACATGTGCACATGCACGCGCGCGCGCACACACACACACACACACACACACACACACACAGAGGATAATCTAGCATTCAGAGAGAAGCCAACATTTTGTGTCTGGACTTTCTTTGTTTTTTCCTAGAAGATGTTTTGATTCTCATCCAAGAAGCTTTCTCTAACCAGGCATCATTTTTTGAGTCTGAAAGCTTGGAAGAAGAAATCTCTGGGCCAGGTGACCAACCATATTCAGTCTTGCCATGAAAGTCCAGTTGCTTTTTTGGGGGTGGGGGGGAAGCACCTTTAAGGAAAATAATGACCTGGATGACTGAGAATCTCCATAGACCTCTAAGAGTTTGTGGTTTCCTAAGCAAGCATTGATTGCCCCTATGTTGAATATGCAAAAGTTATTTAGGAGTTATGAGTTCTTTAATCCACTGCTATTAAGAGTTCTTTAATCTGCTACTTAGCAGAGTTTGGAATGCTTTACACCTCCTCCTCCTCCTTTCTCCGTTGCAGGACAGAGTGGTCTTGGGAAGTCCACCATGGTCAACACCCTCTTTAAATCCAAGATAAGTCGGAAATCAGCCTGTTCCGGATACGAGGAGCGAATCCCCAAAACTGTGCAGCTGCTCTCTGTCACCCATAGTAAGTAAAATGAAAAAGCTAGCTCCTTTCTTCCATTTTGGAGAGAAAGTATCTCTTCCTCTCTCTCTTTTTGCCCTCTCCATCCCAGTAGATCCATCACAGGTCTAGCAAAACCACTGGGGACTTTTATGTTCTTCTTCATCCATCTGACTCCAAGGTCACAAATGGGTATTATTGTGCTCTTCCTTTTGTGTTCTGGCTATTAGAGGCAGACATTTAATTCTTCTGGACTAAACTAGGATTACAAATTATAGGGTGAGTTTCAAGATGGAAAGGAATTGGGTTTGTACGGAAGTTGCTCGTTGGAGAACTGTTTGGCTGGATTCTCAAACTAAACTAGGCAAGTTTAAAAGAGAGTTAGTGAATCTTCGGTGCCCTCAAATCTTTGTTTGTAGACCTTTCATGACCCAACTAGATAACATCATCAGTGCTGGTGAAGATGGGGTTTGTTCCCTGGTTATACACAGTAGTTTGCCCTATGTGGCAGGAAGCAGCTGCTGGAGTTAAGCAGCCACCAGGAGAAAGAGTTGGCAAAACAGTTGGCTCAGTTCAAACTGGANCCAGCCAGAGGTGGCATTTGCCGGTTCTCTGAACTACTCAAAATTTTTGCTACCGGTTCTCCAGAACCTATCAGAACCTGCTGGATTTCCCCTGCTTTCTCCCTGTTGGAAGAAATGTCCATTTGGGTTCAGTTCCGAATGGGGGAAACGGCACTGGATTCATGGAAGTTGCTTGGAAAGATGATTTTAATGGTGAACAGGACCACATGCCTTGAAGATGTTGGGTGAAGGGGAAAAAAGGGAAGAGATGGCGAGAGTGCCCTGGTTTTACGCCCTCACTGGGCTTTTGAATTTGAGCTTGTATTCTGATTGGTTGTCAGACTCCCATGGGGCCATGCAGGGGCAATTCTGTAGGCTGTCCTGAGTCTAAGGCTTGGTTGAGCCTTTCTGGGTGATGTAATCTTTCCAGGTGCCATGTGGTGAGATGGGTAGAGGCAGGGGTGAAATTCAGCAGCTTCTGGAGAACCAGTAGCAGAAATTTTGAGTAGTTCAGAGAACCGGCAAATACCACCTCTGGCTGGGAAGGGAATGGAGATTTTGCAGTATCCTTCCCCTGTCACATCCACCAAGCCATGCCTACAGAACTGGTAGTAACATTTTTTTAAAAAAAATTCACCACTGGGTAGAGGACTAAACCTACCTTTGTTGGATCTTGGGTGAGGGCATTTGCCTATGAATAGACCTAGCTGTCTCTTTATCTCTTAAGTGCAGACCTCTGCTGTGGGCTATTGAGGATGGTGGGGGCTATTGAGAGTGTTTCCTGCCTAAAAGCATGTTTCTCCATTTCTCACCCAGAGAAATATAATATTCTGCCTTTTCAATATTTCCTAGAATATTTCATTTTTCTAGGAGAGGGGTGAGTGCGAACTTCCTACACCTCTCCCCCAGCTGATTCTCCCAGAATGAGTCCTTGAATTTCCGCATCTGTCTGGAGAACAGAAAGCGTGACTTGAGGTTTTCAGCCAAGCAACAGCCCTCCCCCTCCCCAAGAGAAGAAGTTAATTGTGAGCTATCGTTTCTCCATGCAAGGGAGAACATCTGCCTTGAATTATAGTTCCTAATTTCCTGTTTGCTTTGGGGTAGATTAGAGTTCATGGCCTCCATTCAAGGTCCTTCCACCTCGGGTGGCTAGATTGTCCCACTTTTCACTTGGGACCATCACTTCCAGAGTTAGCTGAAGGTTTCATGGCCAAGAAGTGATCATGTGATCAAAATTCAGACGCTTGGCAACTGCTTCATATTTATGACCATTGCTATGTCCTGGGGTTACATGACATCTTCCAGTTCTCAATATTGCATCAATAACCCTGCCAAATCTGGCAGTTTACTAAGACTGTGCAAAGTCTTCCAGAAAAGGAGCTTAGTAGAACATATTGGCGCAACTAAATTGGTCTCCTTGAAACCATATTTCTTGGAAGCCTTGAGACAGTTGCTTTGAAGGCTGTGCTTTGGTGCCAGATACAGCAATCAGTCTTCCTCCTCCAGAAAGTTAACTCTGGATTCAGGACTTTGCTTCCAGCAGAAGCTCAAGAGCAAAACGTGGCTGGTCAGAAACCAAAAACTTTCAGGATTTGATGAGCCAACCTCAACTTCTGCTTCTCTTCGTATCCTCTTTGACCATTGGTATGGAGAGCAGCATTTCTCAACCTCGGCAACTTTAAAAGGTGTGGACTTCAGCTCCAGAATGTCCCAACCAACCTGTTAGCTGAAGAATTCTGAGTTGAAATCCACATACCTTAAGAGTTGCCGAGAAACAAGGGATGGAAACAATAGAACAAACGAAAGAGCTATTTCCTAACAGCGAGGACAGTTAACCTGTAGAATAGCCTGCCTCCAGAAGTCGTAGGTGCTCCATCACTGGAGGCTTTTAAGAAGAGACTGGCAACCACTTGTTTGGAATGGTATCGGGCAGCGGTCACCAACTGGTGGTCTGCAGAAAAAGTATTTTTTATATTTCACTAAATCAGGGCTCCTCAAACTATGGCCCCTGGGACGGATCTATGCAATGAACATTTGAGTTGCTGCAGAGAGTCTCTCCCTTCGGGGTCTTTTTGTGCGGGTTGGGGGGGGCAGAAATTCCGACTTGGGGTCTGCTTCAACCTCCTAGTATGGGGATTTGAGCGAAGGCTGGAGGGAAGTGACACTTGTGGTGAAGGGCCATAGGGTCTCGTTTCAGTGGGACTGCATCATGGCCTGGAACTGGCTGACCATCTCAGCCCGCTGAGCCTCTAGGCGCCGGTCCCTGGCTTTGCAGTCCCACAGGCCTCCCCTCTGCTTGGAAAGCCTCTGCTCATAGTCCTCATTGAAGGGCTTCTGCTGAGCCTCCTTCTCGGTCAGATCCAATTTGAACTGAGCTGCTTTGCCAATTTTTTCTCCTGGTGGCTGCTTAGCTCCAACAACTGCTTCCTGTTGGGGCCCTAAAGAGCCCAGGTGGGCGAAGACTGGCATGGGGAGAGGAGGGGCGAGTAGAGGCCAGCGAGGTGCCCCTTGACGTGAGTGACATCAAGTTGGCCATGCCCAACCAGTCCCATGACCACCTAGCCAGGCCCACCCATTAGGCAGATCATATTAGTGGTCCGTGGGATTTAAAATTATGAATTTATTGATCCCTGAGGTCCGAAAGGTTGGGGGACACTGGGTCTTCTGCTAAAGCAGGGGTGTTAGAGTAGAAGGCCTCCAAGGTCCCTTCTAACTCTTGTTATTCTATTATTCTGGAGAATTCTGAGTCAGAGTGGAAATGCACATCCCCAAAGAGTAGCCAAAGATTGAGAAACGCTGCTTCAGATGTTCCATCTTTGCTAGTTCTCTGAAGGTTCTCCAGAAAAATGCAAAACAATCTGCATTTGAAAAGAAATTGACTCTGAATTTGAGATGACTTTTCTCCCCCCCACCCTAAGTTAATACACTGCTTCGCCACTGCTTTCTAATTATCCCAGTTATATGAGGAGAAAATTTAATCCTCCTCCGTTCAGTTAAATGCTGGAATCGTACTTTCTTCCAACGCAAGATTACTTTTTTCAAGACTCTGCGTGTCCTTTCCCCTCTATTTTCCTGCTTTTCTTGCCAGGGGTTTTGCTCCAGCAGTGGGGGGGCGTCTGTTCCGGTGGCTTGCCTGAGCCCCCTTCCTGGAGTGCTGCATTGACCAATCGCAGACCAGGAGTGGAAAGGCAGGAAGACTTCCCAGCTGTGGCTCCTTTGACCCTTGAACATCTGGTTGCATGCATCTGGTTTTGATCACAGCCTGAGAATCTCTTCTCTCCCTCCCATGCCGAGAGGGTTTGTCAAACTTGAAAGGGGTGTTTGTGTGTATATATGTTGTGTGTTTGGGGAGCGAGGGAGGGAGAAGACCAGAAATGTTTTGGGCAGGGAGGAGAAAAAAGCCCCCGCAAATCAGATAAGATCACTTTGGCGAGATGTGAGATAAACAAGCAAGAAACAAAATGAAGCTTTGAAGGGTTTCGGGTTAGAGAGTTGGTTTAAGAAGACAGTTCCATCTCATGGATAGTAATAGTAACAGAGTTAGAAGGGACCTTGGAAATCATCTAGTCCAACCCCCTGCTCACACAGAAGACCTGTACTAGGGATTCGAACCTCCGAATTGCCAACGTTTCTGATCGACAAGCTCAGTGTCTTAGCCACTGAGCCACTTCTTGAGGCTGTTGAGCCACCTAGACTAAGTTGGTGACAGCTTTGGCCAACAGCTGTAGTTTTCATCTTCTCCCCCTTCCCTGCCCCCAAATACAGGCAGTACACTCACCCAATGAGAGATAAAATGAATAATTTGGGATGAGTGAGAGGTCTGTAACCTCAGTGTCCCACCTCAAGTTGACCAATGGAGATCACGTTCTGACCATGTGCTTATTCCAGGGCCTGGAGATATTAGTTCCCAAGGAAATAACATGTGTTAATAATAGAGGTGTAATAATGTGTTGGGTACTTGTCATATGTAACCCCACTGCTTTGTGAGCTGTATTGGTTGCCAGTGTATTTCCAGGTGCAATTCAAGGTGCTTGGTTGATGGGTATAATATAGTATAGAGCAGAACAGAGCGGAGCAGAGTAGAGTAGATTGGTAGATGATGGATGGATGGATGGATGGATNGTATGACTGTCGTATGTTTTAAATTATGCATTCTTATGTGTCGTTTTTTAATTTTTTGTCTGTATCCCCCTTCCCTGGTTTGAGTTGTGAGCCGCCCTGAGTCCCCTTTGGGGGAAAAGGGCGGCATATAAATATAATAAACAACAACAACAAACAACAACCTCAGTGAAGACTAGGAGCAGAGGCTTTCCAAGCAGAGGGAAGACCTGCGGGAGTGCAAGGCCAGAAACCAATGCTTGGAGGATCAGCAAGCTGAGATGGTCAGCCAGTTCCAGGCTATGATGCACTCCCACTGGAATGAGGCCCTACGGCCCTTCACCACAAGCGTCACTTCCCTTCAGCC